TCAAAGTGCGGATAACCTACATCTAAGCCCCTACCCGCCGGAATTTTTGTCTGAAATCCTGCTGTTTTTTGTCCTGCCGAACAGTGGGTGACCCTCATCGCTCCGTCCAAGTACCCGGCGAACAGCGAGGACACTGCTTTTTCGAGGACGCTTGAGAGCGTGCGCAAGGACGTTGAGTGCTTCTTCGGTATCCTGAAGGGACGTTTCAGGATCCTCAAGCTCCGCCTCGGGTACCGCTCCAAGGAAGACGTCGACAACATCTTCTCCACCTGCTGCATCCTGCACAACATGCTTCACACCTTCGACGGCATGGACGTGTTCGAGGAAGATGTCGACTGGGTGGGGAGCGCTGGCCTGCACGACCCCTGGGACCATGACCCACTGACAGACTTCACNTACCGGGAAGCTTTCGGAGAAGGAGGGAGGGGAGGGAGGGGGAGGAAAGCAGCGAGACGATCGACCAGCACCCGGCGCACAGAGAGCTCAAGAAACAGCTAATCGAGAGCTTTTCTTACCGGAAGAGACACAACAACATTACATGGCTTTCAAGGCCCACGTGAGCCTTCTTCGTTTTGCTACCACGCCGCTGCCTCGGGTATCTGTTGCAAGCCGTTTGTTTTTTTTTGCTACACGCGGTGTTTAGTAAGACGTTCCCGCCTTGAAGATGGTGTTGTCGCGTGGGTTGTTTCATATTTTCGCTGTGCTGTCTTGCACCTGTCGGACATGGGGTACTCTTGTATTTGTCTGCAAGAGGGACTCTGTGCGTGTCCGTGCGTGTGGCGTTTGTGTGTTCGAGTTTCAGATTGCCTTGTTATTTATCGGTGCCACGGGCATTTGACCAGCTTCGGTTCCAACCAAAATTCTTGGTGCACCACCCCCATGTGACTGCCTTGGAGGGAGAGATGGGTGATAGACTTGCATNTTATTAATAGGTGCCACGGACATTTGGCCAGCTTCGGTTCCAACCAAAATTCTTGGTGCACCATCCCCATGTGACTTCCTTGGAGGGAGAGATGGGTGATAGACTTGCGTTTTGTGTTTTTTTCATATTAGTGCCGAGTACTTTTGATCAGCTTCAGTTCCAACCACACTCCTTGTTGCACCACCCCAATGTGACTGCCTTGGAGAGAGAGATGGGTGATAGACTTGGGTCTTGTGGTTGTTCTCATGCATGTCAATCAACATTTCTACACTACGTGTACTGAAGTGGCATGAGCACAAGCATACAGGCCAATGTATCGGACATTGCAACGTCAATACGTACGACACTACTCACAAGAAGTACGTGGACGGCTGGCACGAACCAGACCTGCGTATATTGTCGACACTGCCGGGGGAACAGCAGAGGACGGGGTCGTTACCTACCTCCGAAAACACGCACCNATGATACCCTTTCGTCTTGTGTGTTTTTTCAGCGGTGTGGAGTACGTTTGACCAGCTTCAGTTCCAACCACACTTCGTGGTGCACCACTCACATGTGACTGCCTTGGAGGGAGAGACGGGTGATGGACTTGCGTTTTGTGTTTTTTTTTGTAGCGGTGTCGAGTACGTTTGACCAGCTTCAGCTCCAACCAAAATTCTTGGTGCACCACCCCCATGTGACTGCCTTGGAGGGAGAGATGGGTGATAGACTTGGGTCTTGTGGTTGTTCTCATGCATGTCAATCAACATTTCTACACTACGTGTACTGAAGTGGCATGAGCACAAGCATACAGGCCAATGTATCGGACATTGCAACGTCAATACGTACGACACTACTCACAAGAAGTACGTGGACGGCTGGCACGAACCAGACCTGCGTATATTGTCGACACTGCCGGGGGAACAGCAGAGGACGGGGTCGTTACCCACCTCCGAAAACATGCACCCCCTCTTACATGATTCGGAACCAATACGCACATGTTGAAATGTGCATATCGCGGTAGCTCAGCCTCAAGCACCCCTGAAAAAGAAACACGAGAACACACAAGCAAAGGTCCATCCCCCCGTCTCTACGCACCGCAATCAAGTTACCCTCCAGCTGCGTTGGAAGTCACCCCTAAATCAATTTGGAGTCTGCACCATCGAACCGCACACAACCATAGATTTGTGGGAATC